CTTCCCCCTTCCCTTGGGCTAGTCTAGATTATACTCGAGGGGGTAGGTATGGCCGCTGTGCGTAACTCCCGTCGCCTGTGCTCGAGTATTGTTTAGTTGACGTGCTCGTATGATACATTATGGATCTTCACCATTGGTGGGATGGAACCAGTTGAAAAGAGTGAAACCAGCGATTGTCTGAACGTGATAAAATGGTACTCAAGAAGCAGGAAAAGGTTACGATGGTAAATCCTGTGCTCAGACGATCATAGGAAATCACTCATCAATATCTTGCATGCATAACTCAATGTAGGAGAGTGAAAAATCCCATGGGTCGCAAACAAGGTTGCAGTACATATTGCAGGATGCTTTGACGAGAGACAATAAAGAAGACATGGGGAAGTATTGTACATGCTTCTATTGCAGTGCCCTTTATTTTATCTTATCGGGAGCGGAGATAAAGGGGAGCCTGTACCAGGCCGGCAGAGCGAAGAGAGGAACGAGTGAGGAAGGGAGGAAGGGAGGAAAGGAGGAAGGGAGAAAGGGGGAGGGGGGTTGCTTTGTGGTGTCCAAACCCGCCGCCGCTCCCCCCTTACCTTTTTGCCTTTGCCCTAGGCAGCTCACATCGGCAACATCATTGAGCGGAAGCAAGGGCTTTGTTCAGCGACCCATTTCCTTTTTCCTTTGCCAGACCGAAATGCCGAATATATGGCAATTGATCTAAGGGTGTGAGGATGATCCGGGAGAGTTACGCGAGCGTGCGTCCGTCAAGCATGAGTACTGTACTGTACTCTAGCCCATCTGCAGGCGTTTGTTGGGCCCGTGTGGTATGTTGTTTCGGTCCTTTGTGCATTCTCGTCGGAGGGAAACGGTTGTGTAGTGAGCCACCGGTATGTACAAAGGAATGGAAATTATGGTGAATGCCCCCCCCCCTGCCCCTGAAAAATGAGAAACGCAGAGGTTTGTACATTGTCTCGCAAGAGCTGTATCGCAGGTGAAGTAGAAGCTTCGTTTAATCCTGGGACTACAACTCACATCACATCAGGCTCATCGTCAATTGCACCGGGAAAGCAGAGTGCATAGATCGCGGCTTATCTCTCTATGTTCGTTTGTTATATGCCAAGACTTTTTGCTACTGCTGCGCCCAGAGTGCGGCGCTGAGACCACCTCCTCTAAGCACTTCTGGTATCCACAATTATTTCAAACCCCTTGCTTTTTGCGGACGCTTCTTGTTGCCTTGCGTTCTGTGAGCAGCGTGATCTCATTTTCTGAACGCTCTTGTTCCAGGCTGAAGCATTGTGAAAGAAGGGGGAGGGGGAGGGGGGTAAGATAGATGATGTCGGTACGCATTCATCTCGTTTCTGAGGTGATGGGCGCAAATTTGAGAAGCAAACCCGATGAAACACATCGTGGATTAGCTTTGTCTCTTTTCCTCCACAACCCCAGGTGGTCACAGTGTTGAATCGGGCCATCAATGAAAGGGCGGTGAGCAGAACAACCGGAAGGGCAGCATAATCCGGAACGCTTACCAACTGAGGACAGTTTCTTCAACATCTATCTCAATCTTGCATCATCTGCCGTTACCTCTCTGTAGTTATCCGCCGAGCAGCCTTTGAGGTTGCACTCTTACGTCCAATCAATGATACCCCCCGTTCAACATATTATCCGATCAGTCCAGCGCTGTGAGTCTCGTGTCTCACACTGAAGCAAGCAATCCGCTTGTAGGACAGATCGATTTTCTGGTCACGTCAATTCACATCGCAGCAGCCAGGGGTGGGGTTGGACTATCCAAGCACACACACCACCACCACCCCATTCCCACTCGCAGATTACGGATTCCGTCAATCGGCAGAGACCACGCGATTTACCTCACTGGGGCTATTCAGAGCTGTTCCATCCGGCTGTCGCGTGTCGTTGGGGGTGTTTTCAACCATGAAAAGGATCAGGACCGGATGTGCTACTGGAGGACCAAGCAATCTCTGATTGACGACAATTGTTTTATTGGTTATATCATTCGACCGAATTATTTTCCGGGGGAGTTATTTTATTATTATTTCATTTTGCTTCTCTTTTTTTTCCTTTCTTTCCTTTTCTGCTGCACAGGCTTCCTTGTGGCGATCTCTTCTGCTTCTCCAACTTTCCATCATACCAGATCCAGAGGGCGAGCAACGAGACAGCTGCTTCAGTACCGGTACTCGAGCACTGTGGGAGAGAGGCCGAGGCCACTAGTGCTAAGTGCAGTTATCAGAACGGCCAAGGCAAGGAGGAAGTGCCCCCCCAGTCCCGCCCCGCCCTGCCCTTCTCTTACTAGACCAATCTTGTTATCTATGATGCTATCATAAACTTAATCAATTACCATCCAACTTGCGTGTTCACACTGTCGGTGGTTGGGGAAAAGAGTATAATTATACATATATATTTTTTGCTGTTGTTGTTACTGTTGTACCGATATGATACAGAGTCTATTTGGAGTTCTCCCCATCTCTTAGTTGGTGACGGAGTCCCGTACTCTACCGTATTTTACAAGTTTTATGGGCGGTCACCTCTCCTTCCTATTACCGTACCTTGCCCTCTCGTCTAAATCCCTCTAATAAATTCTCTCTCCAATGAGGAGGCCTGATGGGTTGCTTCCATTTTTAACCCATGGAATCTCCTTGCCAACGCACACTCCACCCCCTAATCACTCTAGCCGCATTCTGCAGACCGCCTGAACATTTCACCTAACCCTGAATCTAACCAGAAACGTTTGTGTCACGACCACAGGACCAATTATTATCGTCTATTTTATTGTCCAAACCCTTGCAAGTTTTATTTTATTTTTCCTATTTTCTCTTTCTCTTTCCTTTTTTTTTTGGTCCTTTCACTCAGCGGGTTGGAGGTTGACCAATCAAAGGGACTTTGAGTTCCCCGGCAGCTTTCCAGGCCAGCCAACGACTTTCTTTCCGCCGCCTGGTTCGTTCTTTCCTTTGCTCGTCGGACTGGAGGGTGGCCCTCGCTCTCCGCAGGGGAAAAGAAGGACTGGAAGAAAAGGGAAAATGGAGGGTTGAAGAGGAGGAGGGGTACCGGTATCAGGTTCAAGCGACTTTGTGTGCTGGCCTTTTTTTGGGGAACCACCACTACCGTACAAATTATATCGCTTGTTTTCTTTTCCTTTCTTTTCCTTTCTTTTTTTTCCTTTGGTTGTTCGTCGTCTGGCTGGAGTGCCGTAGCTTCTTTTTCGGCCGTCAGTCGTTTGCGCAGCATTGGCAGTAGTGGTACTCGTACTTGTACTAGTACTATCTACAGTACAATAGAATAGTGGGCTGTTATATCTTTATTTTGGACATTCTTTTATCAGACTCTAGTCCGAGGCCTGCGATCACAGAAGGGTACCGTGGTAAAGGTGCTTGGTTGATTTAATCTTGGCGTTTTTATTTTATTTTTGCACACAGATTTCTTAACTGGTGTAGCAGAAAATATGTGAAGCAGGCGCGAGTGAAACTGAAGTGGGATTGTGCGAGGGGAGGAATGGATGGTGCGGGCAGGTCGGACGGGGTTACAGTGGAAATGGTGGTGGTGGGCAGGTTTGGGTCGATACGGCACATCTCGTACATACCGGTAGAGTTCATGTTACCGCAGCAAGAGATCGGGGGACGACGACGGCACCCAGAGAAACATGGTGTGACTGAGAGTGACAGACAGTGAGGGTGAGGGTCTGGGGGGGGAGAATAGCGGGCGATTCCACCATTTCGGTATCATAGGTACCGTGCTCCACAGTACAGATGCCTCGCCACCGGTAGCTAAGCGCAGTTTAGGGGGACCGATGGGGCAATGGGCAAGGGCAATGGACGAGAGGACTGACCTGACCAAAGCCCGTCAACGGCAAGGAAACCAATAGCGCGGCCCCCCCCTTTCCTACTGTTCACAGTTAGGTATTCCCAACCACCGGTCCTTAGGTGGTGCTGTTGTTTTTTCCCTGTGGGTATTTTTCTTTTCCTTTCTTCATTATTATTATTACCTATTCATTTTGTTACAGAATTCAACTTTCGGCACTATTTTGACCTGTTTTTGGCATACTCTGTACGTTCCTCCTCTCCTCTCCACGGCAAGTCCAGGTTCAAGCAGACTATTCTTCACTGCACGGAGGGAAAGAACTGTTTGACATCTTTTTTATTTTTTATTATTTTCCTTTCCCTTCCCTATCACCTTTCCATTGTCATCCCTCACACCCCTCCCCTCCCTGGCCCCTGCCATCCTGTCCTCGCCGCCCAGCCTCCATTAACGAGGGACGTCGAGCCTCCTTACAGAATAGAAATTGGGGAAGAGTTGATTGAGAAGGAAGAGAGTGAGAAGGGGTTGTGGATTGAGGGTGGGCTACTCGTACGGTACTGCCGCTGCTGGGATAACTCGCTTCGGTATCATTCACTCACTTCCCATACTTCTCACATTATTACCATAGTCCATACAGAGACACGCTTTGCGGTACATATCATTCTGACCTGCCTCCTCCTTTTCTTCTCCGCACCACACCTTTCATCAACCCCCTCCACTGTCCCCTCCTCCCCTCCTGCCCACTCCCACTCCCCAATCCCACCCCCTCCTCCCCTTCCCCTTCCACCACCCCCCCCCGGTCCGTTCCCCACCCACCGAGAAAGAGTGAGAAGCCAAAGGCCCAGAGAAAGAAGGAAAGAAAAAAAGGAAAAAAAAGGAAAAAGGAAAAAGGAAAAAGAAACGCTCCACCACGGACAATCACTGCTGTGTGTGCTGCTTCCCTGCAACTCGCCCCGACCCGCATCAACGTTCGTAAAATCTACTTCGCTGCCTGTTGCTCTAACTTCTCTCGCTCACTCTTTCACCTCTCTCGAGCTCTCCCCAGCCTCTCGAGTCCTCCTCTCGCTCCCTCACCCACCAACTCCCCCAACCCTACTTGCGCCCCCCCCTCCTCCGTCCCCCTTCCCCGAATCCCAACCTCTCTTGCTCGGTTCGTCGCGCAATTCCTTCCCTTCTTTATTCCACTTCCCTTCCCCTCTCGCGCCTACCATACACGGCTCGCCCTGCGTTTCCTCTGCATCATCAACGACCGGGCGATCTCGCAGCAAGGCGCAACCAGAAGGAATTCCCCTTCACGAACATCTTCTGGCTTCTCCGATCCGAGACACTTAAGATACAGTTACCGGGTGGGAGAAACAATATTGCTAGAGAGGGAGAAGCTTTGAAGGTTACAACCATTGAACGACGACCAACGAGGATACGACCCAAACGAATTTACGACCAGACTCTTGCAATTGACGGGACCAGTTGCAATTGCTTTTGACGCTACTGAACGGGGAATACTATAAAAGTTGAGACTCGGTTTTTCATCCAAAAAAAGAAAGAGTGATTGCCAATTTTTACGATTTGAAACGAAGAAAACGAACCAGAACGGCGCAAACCTCACCTTTTTTTTTCTTTTTGCCCCGACATATCGTCTAAAAACGATTTCGTCCAAAAAAGCATTCCCTCACTTTTTTCTTCGGTTTTCACGCGTTCTTCGTCAGTGGCATCCGTAACTCGGGCAGTACTGTAAAATACGATTCCACCCACTGCAGTCTTCGGGACTACGATTTTTTTATACCTCTTTTGCGTTGCCTGGGTTTTTTCTTTTCCCGTTCGGCATATCAGCTTTACCACGACCACCCACCAAAAGTTTTTTTTTTTTTGTTCCATCAAAATACCCGTCTATTCGATTTTATTTTATTTTTCGTTCGCCTCGCCCGTTGATTCGTTTCTGCATCACAGCTGCACTCAGCCGAGCGTTCTTGTCCTTTAACTGTCGCACAGCCCACCACCGAGCCACAGTTTTTTTCCATTACATCCGTTGCTCGAATCATATCTTCAACGTCTTTTCGGGCGTGAACAAAATTTAATTGATTTCCTCCCTTTGCTCTTCTGTGGAGTGAAGTAGAATTGCCGGAAACGTTAGTGAGAGGCGTCGACATCTGTTGGCTGAAATACGCACAGAAGCTGGTCCATCTCTTCCCGACCTCATTTCTAACTCTCTCTTCAGAATTCATTGTATCCGCCATCAAAAGGCAGTCACACTGTACAATAAGCAAGCTGGAGCTGCCTTCCCTTCCCTCTTCGGTTCAACCAAGAGCCACGCCGCTTGACGTCTTTCCGTGGACGTACAATCAAAACTTCCCCAAGACTATGTCCAGCGACAAGCCGCCAGCTGCACTATCAATCCCACAGTCGGCAAACAACGTCCCGAACAATTCGTCTCCCCGTTCTTTGGGCACATCGATTTTGAACTCTCATTCCAGTACTACCCCCAACGGTTCTCTGAAGGTCAAGACACCTACGGGACCTAACGCCCCCACACCACAATCCATTCAACACTCCCTTCCTAACCTAAACATTCCTTCTCCTCAACATAATACTCAACCTTATCACCCGTCGAACCCCGGGCCAGGCTCCCTTCACAACTCTCAGTTCGCCTACGGTAGCGATCCCGGGTTCATGAATTCACAAACCAACACTCCTTACGTCGGGTTGGACTTCAGTCATCATCACAATCTCTCACAAGGGCAGCCTCCTACGCCTCAGACAGCTACCTCTGGTAGTAATATGTCGTTTCCTCCTCAACCACCAGTGCTGCAGCCTAGTTATTCTCAACCCCATCATGGGTTCCCCCCCCCCTTCTTCTCTAGCCAGGGTGGCGTCTCCTCACCGGCTGGGCAGCCGGGCGTATCGGGCCCAATGTCTGTCCATGCCACACAGCAACTTCTGCCACTACCACAGAACTCTCAGATGACGCCTAGTCCATCACCACTTGCATCCGTATCTCAGGGAGGCCCTCAGACGCCTTCATCGGCTACATCTGCCACGGGGTTCGGAAACCAACCCCCTTTTGATACTACTGGTCAGCACGCTCCACCTGGGATGAAACCTAGAGTGACGGCCACGTTGTGGGAGGACGAAGGAAGTTTGTGTTTCCAGGTTGAGGCTAAGGGTGTTTGTGTGGCGAGGAGAGAAGGTCCGTCAATTCTTAGTCCTGGTGTTCGTGATATATTCTCGTGGTATTCTTGAACTAACAGGGATGGGTGTGATTTTTTTGTTTCTTCCAGACAACCATATGATTAATGGAACGAAACTGCTGAATGTCGCAGGAATGACTCGTGGAAGACGTGATGGCATCTTGAAGAGCGAGAAAGTTCGGCATGTGGTCAAGATTGGGCCGATGCACCTCAAGGGAGTGTGGTGCGTCGCCGTTTCATCTAGTCCTTATACGACTACTTTTTCTCACACGAGAACTTAAGCTTACCTTGGTGCCTGCAGGATACCGTTCGACCGTGCATTGGACTTCGCCAACAAGGAGAAGATTACCGAGCTGTTGTACCCACTTTTCGTGCATAACATTGGTGCTCTGCTCTACCACCCTGCAAACACCAATAGGACCAATGCGGTGATGGCAGCAGCGCACCGTAGGCAACAGGACAACGCTGCCCTCCAGCAGCAGCAGCAGAACCAGATGCAAAGGAGAAATCCATCTGAGCTGGTTCCGTCATCACAGCCCCCTATGCACCACCATCATGCGATGCAACACCCCATGCATACATCGCTCCCACCTCACCCTAATTTGGCACCCCATCCTCCCCAGAATCAACTCCAAAGGCCGGGTCTAGAGCGAAGTATTTCATTCCCGACACCGCCCTCGAGTGCGTCCAGTGTTATGGGCGTTGGCAATTCTGAAAGCCCAACTTTCTGGAACGGGAATATGGTCTCCTCAGTTGGAGGCACTGGTGGTCAGCCCTCGACTATCGAGACTGTGATGAACAGTGCTCGTTCAATGCCGACCACACCGGCAACCACACCCCCCGGCGGTGCACTGCAGCAATTGCAACAGTACCCACCGCCACCATCTCTGTATCCGTCAAACCCATCCGCTATGGCTCAACATAGTATTGCGCAACAGAATATGCAGAGATTTGGGCAGCCTTTGACCCAGCCTCCTCAATATATGAATCAAAGGCAGGAGCCTAGCCCTATGGGCCCACCTTCATCACGTGGACCACCTGCCCCACTTTCAAGGCCTTCATCCAGACAAAATACCGCTGATGACACGCATCCAAAGGAGGAGAACGTGGAGGAGCAAAACGGGTTGGCTGTTGAGGGAGAAGAACATGAGGACCATGGGGAGGAAGAGGCTGAGCATGAGCCTGAACATGAGGAAGAATATACACACGATCCCAATTATGCAAATGGTCACCGCACTGGTAATTACTATCCTTCCATGCAGGGTGACCACACTCCCCATTTGTCTCCAGAGATGACGGGCTCACCAAATCATGGCGGTCAAGGTCCTTCAACTCCTGCACGATCAACATATACTGGGTCAAGCGTGTCTGTTCCGAGGACCGTTGATGGCGGGCCCGGTGCTACGCCACGGACGACCAACGCATCTCAACAATGGGTACAGAGTGGATATTCCACTCCGCCCAGGACAAACTCTACTAACGGAAATGCAATTCGCCAGCCACCCGCACGGGGCCTTTACCAATTGGTAAATGGTGGCCAAGACGCTGCGGCTGATCACAGCGGACCCAATGGAACTGGGGCTCAAGACAGCGGATATCAGAATCAGCCGGGTATGGGTGTCTCTATACCTGCCCAAGGCACACCACAGACCTTTGGCGTTAATGGAGCGTCTACTCCTGGATCGAATAAGCGTATCCGTGAGATGGACGATGAAGATGAGCATGGGTCTCGTCCCTCGAGCAGAGGACAAGACGAAAGATCGGGTGGAGATTCGGAGGGTGGAATTGGCGGTCTTAAGAGGCGCAAGACAATCCGTGAGGGTTCGACGCCTACTGTTGGGGGAATCAACTCGAGTACATTCGATAGGAATACTGATGGCCGTCTTAATCGTGCACGATCGGCCATTGGCACTACCCGGGGACGGCGGTAATTACTTATAGACTTTTACTGGTTTTTTTCCTCTTTTTCGCTTCTTCGACATCTCGAAATCTCCAAAAGCATTTTTTGCAGGGTTACCTTGAATTTTGTTTTTCTGGAGTTGAGAGTAATCCTTTTTTTACTTGATTTTATTTTTTGATTCCCTCACTATTGTTTCCCTCATTTTCCTTACCGTACTTTCTATTCTCTGTGAATCACGAACAGGTTACTGTGATCCGGTGGGCCGGCTATACTCAGGATTTTTTTTCCTTTTTGCTCCCTATATCCTCTTATCTCTTCATTCTTCTCTTTCTTCGTCTCCCAAAAAAAGATATGAAGTAACGCAGCGAAGTCCGTTTTTTTTTCCTGTTGCCACATTTTGTTTGAACCAAGTCCATCTTGTTGCAATCGTCAGGTGTTCCCTCTGTTTTTTTCCCACGCTTTTCTCCTTTCTGCTCTATAGTTTTTATCTCTCTTTTGCCTTTGTCTTTTATTAAGGAACCCCTCCATTTTTTTTAACGAATATTTATATGAATGACCTTTTTTACCATTACCATATTATTCCGTTCCGTTCGTTCTCGTCTCGTCCGTCTCGTTCATCCGTCCGTCCGTTCTCGTGGAGCCAAGATTGGTGTGGGTGGAGTCGGAGAATGGAAGGAAACCAAGCCATGAGGAACAAGGCGGGCAGACGCAGGCGAGGAAGACAACCAAAATCTGTTTTTACTTACCTCTTTTACTTTTTTTTTTTTTTTTACCGTCTCTTTATTATCATTACGACGATTACGACATGATGCATTTTCTTGCCTTTTATTTTTATTCTTTTACACCGTGGGAGGAGCAAGGCGGATCTTGTTTTGTTTTGTTTGGTTGGGATGGGTAAAAAAAAAGAATTGGTTTGGTTTTGGGTTTCGTTGTGTTGTGATTGGACTGGGAATGATGGGGGGAGAAGGGGAGTGTTTATTGTTTGACTGCCTCTGCCTACGATATCTATGGTATATTGAGCTTGAGTGGCCTACTCCTTCTTTCTGCCTGTTTGCCCTGTTCTGCAATGCAGTGCTGGTGGTTAGTCTGTGATAGACGAAGTGGTTACTCTTGCTAGCTTGGTAGTAGCTTGGTTTCTGCATGCGCATTTTATAGCATACCGTACCTTACTTTGGTTTGAGGGTATCATACTTTGATGTAGCGTTGGTTTTTCCTTTTCATGTGTCCATCCTCAGATACCAAAGATACCCCCCCCCTTCCCCTCTTGCTTATGATACTTTTTCCTCACGCCCCTAACGAATTCCCTTCCCTCCCCTTCATCCTTGTTTTATCCTTTTCCTGCCAAAAGCACCCACCACCAGCCCCACTTTCTAGTGCTGCTGCTGAATGGTTGATGATTGACGACCCATGATACCTTTCTATTTATACTCATTTTTTTATACTTTTTTTTGTTATAAAAAAAGAAAAATGGCATTACGAATTTGATGATGGTGATGACAATGATGATGTGGAGTTTGGATGGTGGTGTTTTTTTCTTTTTTTCTTGTGGGTTTCTCAATTGTTGAGAGTGGACTTAGCATTGATGGGGGAGGGGATGTACAGTACTCAGTATTGTAGCTACGCTGTGGTTAGCTAGGTAGTTGGGTAGTTAAAAAGATAGCTAGAATCTAACAAGAGTAACATACTTCTATATCACAAATGCGGTATTGCGAAAACTCTTGAAATACGCCATTAGATTATTAGCTAGTTAGCCTATGATAAGTTTAGTCTGACAAGTTGAGGGAATTGTGTGATCTTATATTATTATGTCAAGAAAACGCCAATGCTTCTCAGGAGCTTATTAGTGTCTGAGTTTTCGTATCGCAGTGCTCGTGGCAATAATATTATGACATAATTTTCGACAACGGTGATCCATTGGTGTCAACCGGAATCTAGAGAAAAAAATAAAAAATACTCTGTGCTTGCTTGTCGGAGCTGACAACTCACCAGTTATCGGGAGAGGAGCATATACCGGTACTGTACTCCAGATTATATATCTCAGTGACAGACCGAAGGGTCAACTTAGTATAGTAGAACAGAATCGGGCCTCGAGATATCACGAGTAATACTTGTGGGGGATTAGACCGCAATGTAGTAGATGATACCAGCCGGCCAGCCAGCCAGCCAGCCGGATAAGTCGATTGAAGTCCGCAGCACTGGTGGTTGGGTAAATGCAGTTGTGGGTGTGAACAGTACAGTACGGTACTGTACTCGAGTACTCTGCGCTGAGGGAGACCAAACACCAAAGTCATTCTTATTATTTCTTCGTGATTGATTGATTGTTCTGATAGTTAGGGTGATGAGGGGGACGCATCACATAAGTTTGTCGACTCCGACACCCATTGGCTTCGCGATATATCATACCCATGATGGTACGTACTCATTGTATACACACTTTTTTTCCTCTTCTTTTCCCCTTCACCACTCTCAAAACCCCACCGGGAGTCAATCCTGAACGGGAGATCTAGCATGGATGAATGGACGAAAAAACCCTCCGGTAAGCTATCGTAACCCGCGCGTAACAGTGAGATAAATACAGTACAACAAGCAAGACTAAGCAATTCGTAACCAAAAAAAATCCTTTCCCATCAGAGGAAAAAATACCCACCATCGCCACCTTTTTCGCGGCGTTCCCAGCGGGGTTGGGGGGAAAAACTTGGAAGGGATTTAATTTAAAACTTTTGAAGAATTCGCGTTAGCGATTATTTTTTCTCTTTTTTTTTTTTAATTATAAATGATGATATAATACAATTATCCCAGTTGCCGGTTCCGTTTTTCACGTTAGCCGGGCACGTGCGGGATTGCGAACCGTTGGCGGAGAGAGAGAGAGAGAGAGAGAGAGAGAGGACTGAGGGGGGGGGGGCGGTAGTTGCCCTACCGGTAGGTTTGTGAATTGTGAATAATGCCGTTTGAACCACGTATCATATCATATCTCGAGTGTACCGTATATTTGCCATTCGATGGATGGCTTGAAGGGAGTGTGTTGTGTGTGTGTGTGAGGGAGGGGGTGAAATGGGCGAGATATGATACATACCTACCTACCTGCTTGCTTTGGAGGGATGGCTGGCGGTTGGATTGAGGTTGTCGTAACTCGGGTTGAAGACTGGTTTGATGTTTTTATAATTGTTATTAGTATTGTCTCTAACTTGTACTGTAGGTATTATATATATATTCGCGGATACGGGGATAGGTCGCGAGTACTAGTGCTGTATAACGTACGGACTGAAGGACTAATAGCATGAGAGAATTCAACGCCCTTGGGCCGAATCATCATGGCATGGTTCGAAATGAGTAAAGCGGTAGGAACCTAAATCAGCTGTTCATATAGAAGGGGGGATGTCAATTGGTATGATACTTGGAGGTTTGCCCTGTTGTATCAAGACAGGAGAAGAAAAATTTCTAGCTATTATTGTTTCCTTCCTCCTCTGGTATATCTCCATAGGGTCGCTTCCGATCATGATTTTATGATACCTTAATTTCATCTGCTCCTTAAGTATCTTTTATAAACACACTCCATTACCCCCATGCAGGCCTTAGCACTACCCTCAGAGGCCATGGCAGGTGGTAGTCTCCACGAGCTAATATTACAATAATAATATTAGTGCGACCATTTCTTTCCCTTGTGATACCAAAAGCTTAATGGTATTGCGGGTAAAAGAAAAACTGAACAAGAACATACTACCAGAACCTAAGAAGTTTCTGTTCAAGCTGAAAGAAAGAAAGTACGATAACAAGTAATTTTAGTGGATAGCACAATGGTAACAGAACATATGCACGTATCATAGGATTCCATTTCGTCTATCGGTGGTCCGAACCAGAATTGAAGTCACGGATGACAAGTTCCACCTTCTTTTCTCTTAGGAGCTTTTCTATCCACCTGGTGAGTATCATCACTGAAAGCCTCTAGTTGCTAAGCAGTACTAGGTAGGCTGGAAGTATCATGATTAAGTGATTCTTGGGATGAACTAGCCGCCATTGCCCTCACAGCAGTCATCCTCAGGATCCGTTAGCGGTACAGTGCTATGCAATCGTCCAGGCCAACCGAGTATTCGCTCGGCTGTATCATATAAAAGCCCAAAGTGAGAATTGAATCCCCTAACCCAAGACTCCTTTAGTAGCACGGAAATCTTTTCTTATGATACTAGTGGAAAATCTTGATGTTTTCTTGGCCTTTGTCGAACAGAGCACTGAATTTGGGTTTTTTTTTTTTTTTTAGGTCGCAACACTCCTCATCTCCATAGCTGTAGTGAGATGTCCTCTGCTGGATGATGCCCTACTAGTTGTTTCATTGGGTCTGACCGCGAATCAATACTAACTTATATCATACCCGCGTATCCATTCTCGTGGAAGTGGAGTTACGCAACGGAGGAAGGCGAGTGATCTGATGTGCATGTGCCGTCTTTGACCTTGAATGCAGGTGTGTATGTGGGCGGTTGTGATATTACGCTCACACGGGAGCACCCACACACGGTGATTCGCCTTGTCTTTTACTGTGAAGGAACGGTAAGCCGTGATTACGACTGGGTAAGCTAGGAACTGAACAAAAACCGTTTGCTTGCACAAGCTAAGGTTGCCATCATAGTTGAATTGCTCCAAAGTGAAGAAAAAAAAGCTGGAACGGGATAATGATTGATTCAAGAACAGTACTGGGAGATAATGGGGGGAATAGATGGTCGCCTGACTTTGGAGGGATAGGGAAAAAAAACCTCGAATATCTCCAGTCGAGGGATATGCCCCCCCCCACCGGTGAGAGAGGGATGACTTACTTCCACATGGATAGTGAACGAGATCTGCCCTTCCAAGCCGATACCAACCAACGGTGGTTTTGAGACTTTGTAAGACATTGGGGTTAGTAGGAACTGAGTCGAGGGTGTGGGGAATGTTCTGGGGAAATCTTATCCAGTGGTGTAAATACTCGCCTGTCTGGTTGTCGTGTGTCCCGCAGCACCAAATATCACTCTGTTTTATTCTTGTCTGGGAACCAATTGCCAACTCGCCCTGCGGGGAGAGACCTTTGCTTATCAATCACAGAAGGAAGAATCCTCATTCGTCGTGGCTGGCATACAGCCCCGCTCGGGAGGTTGGGCCGTTTCATTACTGTCGAGGAAGTCTACCCATCATCAAATGTCGGGAACAACGCCTTTAGTTAAAATCTCTTGATATCAACCACTGGTATCAGATTCTCTGCCAGAACCCCCTCCCCCTTCGGGCTAGAGTAAGTTTGCTTTGGCAAGTTGGCAAAGGGTTGCGAATAACTCATTGGTGGGATCTAACGCGTCCTGAGGACTGATCTTATATTACTATAGAACTGTCAGGAAAATCTTGAATCATTCTCGGAAGCCTGGTATCTTTCGATCCTGTGATTTTGCGTGTGTAATATCATCGGAGGGAAATCTACTGTAACTATGCCAGCCAAGATAGGAAATGGGGGAAAAACAGAAATGGCCGTGTTGGCGGAATGAATGACTGCAGTGGAGATTTTCCAAGCAGGTTAACATCCAAGTAAATTAGGTAGTTTGGATAAATGAGTAAATGTCTGCTACTGATAGGGAGAGTTTATGTCCCCACTGTTCAAGGCTGTGGTGGTGGTGTTCCGTCGTAGAGGTTAGGGGGGGGGGGTGTACGTGGTCCGCTTTTGACTGAAGTGGTCATATATTCGGGATTCCTCGCGATCCTATCGTTTCTGATGGCCAAAAAGGATTCGATCTAGTAGGTTGATATCACAACCCGGTTTTTTCTTGAAAGTTCCCGGGATGAAGAACCTGGAGACAGGGGTCAGCAAAACAGCAGTGAGGACAAGGGTGAGGGCAGGAAAACAATTACTATAGATTTCATCATGGACCTACCATTATCGGAGAAATGCGATAGTATCCTAGTCATGGTGGATCGTCTGACCAAAATGAGTCATTTCATTCTGGTCAGAAAAGATATGGATACACGGGATTTTATACAAATATTCTTCCGAGAAGTCTTCCGACTTCACAGCCTCCCGAAGAATATCATTACTGACCGAGGAACATTGTTCACATCAGGACTGTGGAAAAAAGTAACTGGAGAAATGGGGATATAAAACAGGCTAAGCACAGCATTTCACTCACAAATAGATGGACAAACGGAACAGGTAAACACAATACTCGAACAATATTTACAGGCCTACGTCAATTACCAAAAAGATGATTGGTGCACACTGCTATCAATGGCCAAATTCGCATACAATAATGGTAAACAAGAAACTATTGGCATGACACCCTTCTTTGTGAATTACAGACAACATCCACAAAGTCAGGCCACATATCATATGATTAATGGTATAATACCGGATAAAACAGACATGTGAAAACTACATGAGACAATACAATATGAAATGAGTCAAGTACAACAACAGCAAAAAGAACAATATGATAAACACCAAAGACCAGATCCAAACATACAACCGGGAGA